TCAAAAAGGTGAATTTCATATATTCTTCAAGGAAATATTTGATAAACCTAAAAAGGGAGCTAGGCCACATTAAGTGAATTACCATCTTGAATATGTACAACCTGACCCAGACTGCTGCTTTTGTTTATATAGGGATAGATGTGCTTTGAGGGGGGATAAATTTGTCACACAAAACAGTAACCAATAAATTAACAGCTACCTGGAATGTTTCCTTAATTCTGTTCAACCAAGCACCCCTGTAACCATACAAATGGCATGGACGCCTTTGAGCAGCTGTACTCAACCTGCGGTTCACAACCCATTTGGGGATTCAATGACCCTTTCACAGTGATTACTTATCAGATATATTGCATATCAGATATTTAAATTAGTATTCACAACAGTGGCAAAATTAGTTATGAAGTAGCAATGAAATAACTTTGTGGTCGGTTAATATGAGGAACTTCATTATAAGGCCACAGCATTCGGAAAGGTTGAGAGCCACTGCCTTAGAGGCTACTTACATGAAACTTTACCTACAAACTTTAGATTCCAACTATCTGCCAGAGTTCTCTAGATGAAAGTTTCCCGAATATCTCCCATTCACAGTTTTTGTGCTTCTGGTCTCACTTTTGATTTTATACAAACTCTAAGTAGGACCAACAGTCACCTAGTGGTCCTATCCAAAACTATACAATGAGTAAGCGAGGTAGTCAGTATTCATGGATAGAGGATGAAAACAAAATGTGCCAATAGAGAAATAGGGCTAGCTAAAGACATACTGGATATGCTAAAGTAATTGCTTGGGAAAGTTTTCTAAAACCTTTCACAGTTCACAGAATAATCAATTTTGAATATTAATTTCTATACAGATCATCTAGATTAAAAAGATTTTCCTGTGTGTAGCATTGCAGGATTTTCCTTTTGTTTTTCACTTTTTTTTGGTTCTTTTCGCATCATGCATCCTAACCCCACTAGTCTCCTCCCCTTCTCCTACCCACTCTCCACCATTGCAACCTCCTCCTCTAGAGACAAAAAAAAAAATCTCATCACAGAAGCTGTAATGTGTCACAATGTTTCCCACAGTATGCCCTTTTGCCCAGACTTCTTTGCTTGCAAATGTTCATTACACTGACTCATTGGTCTGGGACGAAACCTCTGACTCCTGCTACGCTAACAATACTGTAACCTTACTGGAACTCCTTGTGAATATCCTGTCTTTGCCCCATGTCATGGAGAGCTTGGCGTTTTGGATCTGTAGGACCAGCCCCTTCATGCACTCCAAAAGTTCAGCAGTAGGGTAGATGCTGGGGTGAGCCAACTCAAACACCTGGATCTGAGCCTGAGAGTTATCTGAGCTGGTCAGCCTGCTGCTTCTCCCTCTCTCATGCCCTAGGGACTGGCTCACAGACATCTAGGGCCAGGTCTACTATGCTTCCCAGGTGACACGCAGGGCCTGCTCTCCCAAGTGCTGAGGCAGGGGAATGATACAGCCAGCTCTCCTGCTCTGATGTCTTTGGGGTCAGCTCTCCTCCCTGCCATTGGTAGCAAGGGGCAAGGGAGAGACATTTATCCCTCACCCAAGTCACCATATAGCAGACAAGTGACACACTCACATCCTCAGAACTGGCTCACCCAACACTGTGGGATTTTCATTGCAGTATTAATTTTAGAGAGCTCATTCAGAAACAAGCAAAATGTTCATTTAAAATTGTATGATTACACTAATTCTAGTTTTATTAAAAATGCTGTGACATTTTAAAAGAATCAGGTCATTTTGCTAGGAATATGACTAAATCACATCCAAAATACATAAAACATACCATTTATCATGTTTTACTGGTGATATATTATAAAGCATCCTAGATAATTTAATTGATTCTAGTCTTTTGTTTCTGTTGTACACATTAGACAAGAGGTAATGTGTATTTGATTTGAGAATACATGCAGAATGTTTGAGTTAGGATTAACTGTGTGAGAGAACAACCCCAAGACACTATCAAGGCTTTAGGCAGGACCACCACATGACCAGATCCACTTTCAAGGACTCTTAGCACTAAGCATGTGGTAAAATGTTTTCCAGAGTTCTGGCATGAGCTGAGACTTGGCATATTTCCTGTTAGCTTTCACAGACTCTGCTGTTTGGAGCACTTTATGTAACTCTTGAAACAACATCATGGTCCATGGGTCCCTTGAAAACCTTATCAACTTAAAACCTTTTATCCTCAAGAGTGGCTGGCTTAAAATGGAGCTAATGTCTTTTCTTCTTTCCTCTACCATCCAAATTCCAAATAAAGAAATTCATTGTGCATGGTCAATGTGACATTATCACTATCTTCTATAGGATCCTTGTTCAACCTTCTTGCCAAAGGACCTGAGACTGGCAATCTCTGAAAAATCTGAAAGCAGTGGTTCTACAAATTTTCATTTGAATTCAGAAGTTGTTTTTTCCAGACACAATCATAAGTATTTGGAGGGCACATACTTTGTTTTAGATACTCTTCTAGACTCTCCTATAGGGTTATGTTCAGGACAGGGAACACTGAGAAGTCCTAAGGAAGGATTCTTACTTTCCTCCTTTGCCCTCCTTCTCTTTTCTCCCTCCCTCACTCCCTCCCTTCATGCCTTCTTTTTATCATCCCTCTTTGCTTCTCTACTCCCCTTCCCCCTCCCCTTTGTTTTTATGTTTTTACACAATCCCTAGAGAACTCAAGTTGGCTTGGAATTCTGGATTTCTAGCCTCAGCCTCCTAAGTAATGGGATTACACAATTGTCTCACGATGTCCAGTATAAGACTCTTTGAAACAGGACAAAAGTGAACTAAAATAGTCAAAATGACCTGTCCTGGATATTGATTTTCCTATGCCTAGTGCTGTTTCAGACTTCCAATGTTTTATGAGATCCATTTAAAACTGCAATTTGACAAACCTCTATCATTACTTTCTTTAGCCTGAGTCTACCATGCGTTAGTCAGGGAGCCTTTGTCCCACCGTTTATTATAAAAGCCTGCTACTATTATGGCATCTATTATTTATATTTGGATAATTTTACATTTTTCCTGGTATTTCAAGCCTCCCAAGTATCAAGTGTTCTGTTTATATTACCATTCCCTCGATTTCAGCCCCACCTTTTAGCCCAAATCCTAGGAGGCTTTTTCAGTCTGCTTGATTATTACCTATTGAAAGGTTAAGTTTCACAGAAAACCAGCTACTTTCTTATTATCAAAATATAAATGAGCTTCAAAACCATCTACCACATATTTTACAGAGATACTTGCCAAGGACAAACTTTCCAGAAAAGAAATATTGGTCTATATTATAATAAGCACATACACTAAATGTGTTGGGAAACTGGCGAAAAGGCTCCTGACTGCTTCTCCATATGTTTTATTCATCGAGGGTTATAGAAAGACATTTGTTACTTTGTGGTCAAAAAGAGAAGATAAATAGAGTTGGTCCACAGGGAAAAGGACTTTGATGATTCTGGTTGCTGGAACCTTCTGCCAGAGTAATTATAAGCTTGACTAATAAGAGCATGGCTGTCCTATGTGCTTTCCAGTTTCCCCAAAATTGTTGACTATTCTACTCAGTTTTAGAAAACTTCTTTCTTGATACACAGTGCTATATTAAGTTAAAACCATTTCAGCCAAATTTAGAAACTTTCTTTCTGAAATATGTGTGTGTGTGTGTGTGTGTGTATATATATATATATATATATATAACTTTGACAAGGTAGCATTTGCAAGGAAAGGGAGCTTAGATTCTTTTTCACCATTTTCATATTTAGAGACTATAGTTTTTGCCAAACTAAATATTTTGTGAGAGTTTTTAACAAAGTAGTATAAAACTACCATTGTTCGTCAATAGAACTCTCTATGAAAGATTAATTTTATAGATGTAGCATTTAATTCAGCAAAATGTAGTACTGTATATAATTGTGTCCTGTTGCTTCTGTTTCTAGACATACCAAACGAACTTCTGCCTAACATGATTAATCTGGCAACTACTCTTTAGGAAGGCGAATGAATTCCACCTTTTCAGAATCTCAGGTTATAGGAGGTTTGTTACATTGAAGTAACCTCAAAAAAATGAAGATTTAAAAAAATATTAGATTCCTAATTTGCTGGAATATTGTCACCGCTATTCTATCAATCTGCTCATCCGCTGTGCCTTGCAAAGTTCTGTACATATACAGTGGCTGTAAACATAAAATCATATACATCAGTAAGCGTGTGCTAGGATTAGTCAACCTCCAAGTCTATTTTTCATAGATGGAAATAGATTATTTTAATAATGTAGGCATCAATTTCACCTCATATGAAACATGCTTGTAGCCTAGTAGCCAAGGTCCTTCTCGACATCAAGTATGTAGTTAAGACACAGGCAATTGCCTATTTTCTAATCAGTGATGCTTTTATCTCCTCTTCCAACTGAAAGGAGATTAAATTAAAAATCAAAGTAGATTAATATCAGCTGCACATCTGTAATGTTTTGCTGAAAAGTTTTATGTATGCATGAGATTGGCTAGTTCAGGTATCAGCCCACCCGATAATAATGTGCCTTCATGTGTTAAGATTCCATCAAACACATCCTGGCTGTCTGACAGTCTGCTCTGTCCCTGCTTCTAGAAAGAGCTACACGGTTCACATCTAAACGCTAAAGAAAGAACTGTATGCTGTATTCACCTGGTTGACCATTCCTTGAGGAAGTCAGCCTGCTAACTGTGTCATTTCATTTTGGGTAGACTTTGTTGACTTAGCCATTTCAGAACTTTATTACTGCCAGTTTGATTTTAATTTGAATGGAATCTTTCAACACATGAAAGCACATCATAGTTATTTTTAAATGAATTACTGAGTGATTCACTGGTGAAACATTCTGGGGATGCTAGAAACATCACTTAGATGATTTAATGTACCAAATGAAGGTATATGCAGCTGGCAAATTTATTGTGGCAACTTGACTTGCAACATATGACCCAATAATTCTCAAAGCACAACTGCCATGCTCATTCTGTCTTACCTCCAGCACTGGGCATCCTGGAGGTGTCCTGATGAGAGCTGGATTTATTACGGTTTTGATTTTTCCGTTTGCTGGCTGCTCTCACAGATCGAAGAAGTACCTCACTTGCCTTGAAGAAGGCCACCATGAACGGCTGTTTTGACTGAGGCCCATGTCTTCCCACAAGACCAGCAGATTTTACATTGATGCTGCGTCCTAGGACATAATATATAAACATGTGGTTTATGAGAAAGATAAAGTAGTGTGAATGAGCTCTGTGGTGCTTTGAAAAGAAGAAAACAATTTAAGCATTATCAGAATGTTTTCTTTATAGACTTTATAAACTAAGGATTCTCATAAACCTTGATATTTATGATTAAATAAATATTTAGGCATATCTGTATATCTTGTCCCTCCACCACAGCCTCGAACACACAGGGGATATCCCATGGTTGCTCTCATTCACTGACACTTTTTCAGAATTCAAGGAAAGTGATGGATTTGTTTATCCATCAGCCTAGAAATTTCCACATCAAATATAGTTTCCAAAGTCAACTCTGGGCTTTTCTGCATTAAAGGCTCTATAGTTTTTTCTCTAAGTGATAAACATTGAATGTCTAAAGGGGATTTCTACTTCTTCCAGCCAGTTTCAGCCTTTCTCAGGTAAATCAGTACAGCTAGCTTCCCTGCCCCCTCACTTCTGGCCATGTCAGAAAACTTCCCAAAGTTGTTTACTCTACCATTAGCATTCTTCCTGTCATTCTGGAAATACAGTCTGTTGTGAACTCCATTATCATTGTAAAATGTATTTGAACAAATGTGAAATATTTTTAGCTTTTTATTGATTCTCAACATGATGCACTCCAATTTCACTTATTTCCCCATTGCTTCATACCCACCCTCCAACTTTACAACCTCCCCACCAAAAGAAAACAAGATAGATAGATAGATAGATAGATAGATAGATAGATAGATAGATAGACAGATAGACAGACAGATAGGTGGATAAACATCTTGCTGTGGATGCTGTTATGCGTCACTGTGTCACATAGTATGTCCTTTATCCATACATCTTGCAAATGTTCATTGCAATCAGTCATTGGTTTGGTTCGAGGCTTCTGACTTCTGCTACATCATCAATAGTATGTCTTCACCAGGACTGTTCTTGGATATCCTGTTGCTGACCTGTTTCATGGAGATCCTGCAGCTTTGGATCTACGAGAGGCTCCTTCACATGCTTCAGTAGTTAGCAGAGGGGGTAGATGTTGGGGTGGGTCAACTCAAAGCCCTGGATCTAGCCCAGGGTGGTAGCTAAGTTGGTCAACCTGCCAGCTCTCCCATATCCACACCACCAGGGTGTGTTCTCCCACTTTGCCCAGGTGAGAGACTGGACAGGCATTCAGGAGAGCAGCCCTGCATCTCACCTGGGCAGTGCTGGAGAGCTGGCCTCAGTAATGTGGAAATTTCTAAATTCCTCTCCCAGCAACTTTCCATAAACTGAAAGTTGCCTGAGATTTCAGAAGACTCAAATGAAGTCTGGTGACTCTGAATACACAGAAGGAAGTTCTATGTGAGCTTATCAATGCTTGCTTGATTTGTATTTAGTTTACATCTTAGACTATCATTAATCTATACATGTGGCTGCACACCAAAGAAAGAAGAAGAAACCAGAGTGTATTACAAGTCAGGGTGTCCTAGGCTCTAGAAACTAAGGTGACTTAAACTGCCTTTCCCATAGAGTAGCAATAATATTTATAATTGTCCTTCCTCTGAATATACTATACAGTTTTCTAGGTGCTTCCTATGTATTATTTAAATATGGTTTCACAAACACTATAGGAGTTAGTACTGCTGTGCTCCCAATTTAAGGTAATTGTCACTTTAAATTATATGTTTATATAATATGTAACTAGATGATGTATAATATATCATCTAGTTACATATACTATACCTCTATACACAAAGAAAGCCATTGATTGATTTCTAGTTCCATGGAAATCACACAAAAAAGTGGCGAACTATTTAGTTTTCTGCTGTAACTTTACGTGGAAATTACTCAGACTTATTGCAGTTACTAGTCTAGATATGAAGTTACTGATCCTGTAAAGGTAATATATAATATGGCTTGAAATATGTGCATGATTGACTCTGGCTTGCCCCTTGAGAAATGTGCATGTTTTCTTAAAATATTTATTCAGCCAAAACTATGAAGCAACCTCTACTACAAGGTCCACTACAAGACCAAATTAACCAGAGAATAAAGAAAAGGAAGGCAAATCCCTAAGATGGCATCAGTGTCATTTAACCAAATAAGCCCTTGTTTTTAACAGAGTGTATTTTGGCAGCATAAACAGTTCTCTGTGCACATGAATTGTTCAGAGAGACTTTCTACCATCAGAAAATAAGTGTGTGTTGCAAGAGTTCCTGCAGCTGCTGTGAGGGACACAGAAGTCCTTCACATATTGTGATGCTTGTTCTTAAAAGAAAGTTTGCACCAATCCAGACAACATGGTTATCGTCAACAATTGTCCTACAGCGGAGAAAAGTTGCCTACAAGAACGAAAATGGGCATCTGCATCACAAGCCCCTCTGCAGTCAGTCCTACCAGGAAAAGGGCTTACAAATAACCCAAGCAGTAAACCTTAAACAAATAAGCATACAAGTTTTCCTTTCAAATGCAAACTTATGGTGGCTCTGTGCCAGAGTGTATATACTTCTTAGAAAAACTTTATCATTGGCATAAATGAAAGAGGCAGTTTGATTTGTGGTTAGAGTAGTTTCCATTTTACTTCCACTGTAACAAATGTATTAATTCAGCTCAGACTTCCTCCTTCTGGCAGCCCTTGTGCTGTAAAAAGAGAAATTAGAAGTTCCAGCCAAATACCATACCTTGAACTGACCCACTTCAATACATAAACACTTTTACAACGTGTTTATTCAGGTGTAGCCCTTGAAATCGGTTTAAGAGTTTCCAGCAACAGAGAGCTCGGCGAAAGAAAAGAAAATGCAAACTGAGAAACTTGACTGCTGTGGAATAGAACTGGCAATCTGTTCTTCATTTTTTTTGTTCCTGTTTTGAAATATAACATAAAAAAGTATTTGTTGAAACTTTTACTTTGATATTTTAACGAAGTGTTAATTTAACAGTAGCTAGACTTTACTTGTATATGTTGATGACTGCAGGGACCATTTTTAATATATGATCTTTCTGATTCCGAAATGGGTTACTGTAAGGATTTCACAATGGAAAAAACTGATTTTCTAGTCATTACAATATGCATTGATTTTTATAATTAAAAAAACTTAACCCCACACACCAAGTGTCCTCCAGTGTGCAACGTTTCCTTTTTTTTAATTCCAAAGTTTCTCAGTACTTTTGGTTTTTGCTATAGTGAAATAATGCTGCTTTAAAGATTTACGTTCTGAAAATTGTAATGATAAGTGTTACAAATAGCAATTTTCTTTGGATTAGCAAAGGAGGATACTGTATATGAAGCAAAGTATTCCATCAAATCAATGTGAATTTCCTTTAAATTAACTTTAATATTACTAGATTTCTTATTGATATCTTATTTACTTCAGCAGTCAAGTAAGACTTAATATTTTGTAAATTCATACTTGCTCAGTTACTCTTGGTCTTGAACTATATTATAAAAGCATTATCTATTTGATCTCCTCTAATTAAAATATACCTCCATTGATTGTGTTGGTTGAACCTTTTGAATGATTTGTCAGCTGATTTTATTAAAAGTGCAGAAAGGATCATAGAATATATTACATATAATACAGATGGTAAAAATATTAAAACAGATTTCATCATTTTACACTTTATGATTAAATGTATAGTATATGTTAGGTATTGGAAATATGAAATAGATGAAGCCTAAACCATTTTCAATTAGGAAAACTGTTTTTTACATTACCAAAGCTCTTCAAATCTGTCCTTGTTTGTAGTTATTTCCAAGTTAGAAAAATAAACACAATGACTGAAAAACAGGTTGAATATGTAATGGAAATTCAATTTGGATGTGAAAATAAATGAGCATTAATATAGGGATGGTAAAGATATTAGCCTGAATGCACAGTTAGATACATTAAGATTCATACATATCATGCAATAGCAAGAACTTCACAGGTTAAATCAAACAGGGATACATCTGAACAAAGCAACAACCTACAGAATAGGAAAAATTTTTACCAACTACATATATGATGGAGGAATAATATCCAAATTATATAAATAACTCATCAAACTGTATAGCAAGAAAACAAATAAACCAATTAAAAATGGGATATAGATCTAAATGGAAATCTAAATGGTGAAATTCAAAGGGCTGAGAAACATTTTTAAAACATTCAATATCCTTAGCAACCAGGATAAGAGAAATCAAAATTACTTGAGATTCCGTCTTACACTTGACAGAATGGCTAAGGTCAACAACACAAATTAAAGTTCATGCTGGTGAGGATGAGGAGAAAAGGGAACATCCATCCATTGTTGGTGGGAGTGCAAACTTGTACAGTCAGTCAGTTGTGGTCTCTCAGAAAGATAGGAATTGATCTACTTCAAGATCCAGCTATACCACTCTTGGGAATATACCCAAAGTACTTACCACATAGACACTTGGTCAACTACATTCACTGCTGCTCTATTTATATTAGCCAGACATGGGATGCAAGCTAGATGTCCCTCAGCAAATAAATGTGTAAAGAAAATGTGGTACATTTACACAATGGAGTATTACTTAGTCTTAAAAAAAAAAAAAGAAATCATGAAATTTGCAGGAAAATTGCTAGAACTAGAAAATATCAGCCTGAGTGAGGTAACCCAGAACCAGAAGGACAACTGTTGCATGCATTTGCTTATATATGTGTGGATTGCCATCTCTTTGCAAGTGAGGGCAGGCACAAGATGAGATGAAAGCCTGTGATTGGGTAGTGGAAAAGAAGGAGGGCTGAGAGTTTTGGAGAAGAGTATAGAGAGGGCAGAGGGATAGAGAAGAAGGGAAGGAGAGGAAGAGAAAAGATGGAACCTACAGGAGAGGAAGAGGAGCCAGAACCACACAGTCCTGGGAGTCATAAGTATTGGGAATTTCTTAGACAGATGATTAAATAATAATTGGCATACATTTTCTCTGCCTGGGTGTGCAGCTTGTGTTTATATCAATTGAGTTTAGAGCTCATTGCATGAGTGTTTTGTGGGTTGAGAATTTACT